AAAATATGCCGCAATTTGTAACATGAAAGAAAATGACTATTTTAAAAGGTACAGCACATTTTAAAAGCAAGGATATAAATGAGTCTGATTGTTTTTACATTTTAGTGTAAAGCTACTTATTTTTAGATGTACTAAAGAAAATGTAAAATCTTGGTCTCTGTTTGATTGCTTGGTTTACACACTGTAAACTAGTGTTGAAAACAAACATTTTCAGTACTGTGTTTTCTGTTAATCTAAATTCTACTGAAACCGATTATCATAAATAGAAATTTCTCACTTGTTTTGATTTTCAGTATTGAGGCGGTGAAAATGCCAAACATTTGCCTGTTATAAATCCTTTGAGATATTTTCCTATGGGCATGTAACATGTAACAAAATGTTCTTTTCATGTAGAGGTCATTGCCAACATTGATGTAATGTTTTTTTCTTGACCTCACATATTACAACAGCCATAAAATCTGGCAGTTTGACAGCTGATCTCAGGACTCCAGCATTAAGTGTAGTTGTTTTATTGTTTGTTTTTCCTGTGCACATCAGCAGGTACAGAGATCCAAACATTAACGAGTTCAGATTTCTGACTTGAGCTCATGAGAAACCATGTAGTTGAATGTGAATATCAACATGAAGGAAAATTTTCATTTCTCGTCAGTGTGGCCTTCCAGTGTCAAAAAATGAGATAATCCAATATCAGAATGTACTTCTCCATCTAAAGCAATGGACAGTGCATAAGAGAGGCGAAGAAGAGAGTGCAGGAAGGGTGGAGCGGGTGAGGAAACAATCAGCAAGAGTGAAAGGGATGTTTTACAAAAAAGATAAAGTTAGAGAGGCAAAGTTGAGAGGGTTTGAGTGATATTGGACATACTGGACAGAGGATGTTGAATATGGAGCTGGCAGGCAGAAGGAAACCAGTAAGGTCACAAAGAAGCATCAAGGAAGTATGCTTCTTTGTGCATACAAGGAATCAAGGAATGAAGGAGGACGTGCAGAGGGTTGGTGTGACAGGATGCAAGTAACAGGGTGAGCTAGAGGCAAATGATTAGCTGTGATGACCCCTGAAGGGAGCAGCTGAAATAAGATGTTATGAACAGATGGATCTAGTTAGCTGCTGTCTTGGAGCCATGTAGTTCGATCCAGTACAGATTCTTCCTGCCTGCCAGAAAAACATTAGTAATACTCTATCACTCCATGTTCTGGTCTTCATGTTGTGGTTGCTGCAGCTTCTCTGGCCTCAGAGGCTTGAACCACTTGGAAGGCCCCCAGCAGTTGAAGCTCATTTGACTAGTATTCACTGAACAGAAACAGTCATTATATCTCTCAAAGTTCATTTTAATTTCCTTACTTTTACAGAAGCAGTACACGATTTATGTCCAGATTAGATTGCCTCTGTTTTATGATGAATCACTTTGCTGGCTGTCAAAAGTGAATGTAAGAGAGAAGCTGTTAGGCTGTACCAATGGCATAAGTTAGAAACCAGGATATTGACCTTTGGTTTAATTACTTTAAGGAATTTGAGAAGTGACTTTTGTCTCTGTGAGCATGTGTCACTAGAAAAAGTCATTGGTTATATAAAGCTGAGGGCTTAGTGGGAAACACATTTCAGAGGACTTTTGTCCACCAATAGCTACCTGTTTCCACATATTCTAATCCAAAGTGTAATTAGTGGTTATGCTGACATGTTATTATATCTAGACTACCCCACTTTTTATTTCACCAAATAATGTATTGCCCCTAGTTACTTTGGCTAAACCTGTCAACCTTTCTGTCCTTGTATTGCTCAAAATTCCTAATGACTTAACAACATGTCCTCAGTGTCAGGCAAATATTTGCTTCTTATTTCTAGTCTACAACCATTAACTTTATAATTTCAACAACTATCTGTGGCATATTGTTTGTATATTTTTTACAGCCAACTAGCTATTTAAGCTAACACTCAAAATGCTAGCATAGCATCTGGCTGACTCATTTTAAAACAAACTTGTGAAAGGTTGCAAAGCTGTCTACATGAGTCATAAAAACAAAATGATATAGACCAAAGCATACAAGTAACAGATGTTATCTCTTATCCTATTCAAAGTGTTTGAATATTTAACTTAGTACTGAGTCCCGTGAACAGGACACACACTAAGCTAAATTGTTAGCATGTTTGTTTGGATGATTCAAACAAACTAGTGAAAGTCAGATTAATCACGTTTCTCAAAGTTTAGTCTCAGAGCTGCCTTTTGACATTTGTGTATTCAATTTTGTTTTTGGATTCAAAGAGACAACCCTTAACTCCTAGGCTCTTACATACCTCAAATCCTCTGAACACAGCTCTTATTATAGTACAAAATATGAGCACATCTTAATGACCAGTTTTAGCTGAAAGGATACTATTACCAGTAGATAAACAATGAGTGTGATTACAAATGATTAGGTGATCATTTTTGAGGGAAGTGGTTAATGTGCAGTCAGGTCTTGTTTTTGTTTGAAAGCATGTCCAACTCTTGCCGTTTCAGAGGCTGCAGTGTTGTTCACTGAATGTTATTCATGCATTGCCTGAATTCTACCAATTTTTTTGTAACCACACACATATGACGTTGTTCAACTGAGTTCAGCTGTCCAGCTCTCCATAGACTGAGATATAAATCCCTGTGAAGCTTTGTTGTATGGCTCAGATTAGTCTACATGTGGTACCTCCAGAGCGTTTCCTTTTCTTTATCTTCTCCCCAGTCTCTCGTTTTCTCCATGGGGATTCTCAAGCTCTTCGAAAGAAACTAATAAAGAGCTGAAACAGATGAACATTAGTGATACTCTATCACCCCATAGAGTATAGTAAGAGAAGGATATGAGAAGATGGTTTTTTCTTTTTTGGGTTTTTTCATGCATGCATGCAAAGCTAAAAATGATGCAGCATTTAAGACTTGAGTTACTTAACATGTCGACCTTGCTCCATTAACATGCAGTTATTAAAGGAAATGACACATTCCACAAATGTCATTGGCTGTTCTTGGTATCAGGACACTCTCATACTGTCAAGTGAGCTGGAAACGTTCCTGTAAATTGTGGATGATGTTGTATTATGTCATATAGTAAGAAAAGATCTACTTTCCATTAGCATGTGATTTAAGTTTTCATTTCCAAAATAGGCATAGAAATGTAATATTTATCAGACTGCATGCTGGGTCTCTATTTGGCTGAGAAGAGCTTTAGGATATATAGTAAACTGTCTGTTTAGAGAAGTACTAAACAATCACAAGGGCTATTAATCAATGTGATCATTTTTATATGCATGGCAATAGCAAAAATTATTTTGTGTTATTGTTTGATGAGTGAACATAACTGTTTCAAGTAATTCAAATGCTTGACCCTAGCTGAAAACGAAACATGTGGTGCTCTACTCTTAACAGTTTGTGGGGTAGAGTTGCCTGAAAAAACCTCCTGCAGTACAAAAGTACAACATAAGGTTGAAATAATATTTAATTTCTGGTTTGAATTTGCTGGTTCTCAGGAGAGAATATCATACGGTGCAGCAGTTATGACAATATAATAATACAGCAGATATTAAATTATGATGGGCTAGTGAGTGCAAAATACTTGACTGTAATGAGAGTTAAATGGTACACAGTTAAAATGTATGATGGTCTGATGAGACTAATATCCTGTCTATATGTCTTTAATGTGTCTGGCTTTACTCTGCGGCACTTTGTCTTAACAGTGATGAGCAGTCCAGAAAAGTGTAGCTGCGAGTGTGTGTTTACCTCTTCTTCTTATTTCCTCTCTGCCCTCTGAAAGGTGATAAATCAAATCAATTACACGAGAACAGCTGCTGCATACTTTGAGGAATACCAGATGAACTGCAGAGCCATGAAGCTTCTGCTAAAACAAACACACTCATTTACACACACACTTGTTCTGTAAGCTCTTACATGCAAGTTTGTGGACATGGCACCCCTGAGCAAGGCCTTCCAAGCCTAAATCCATGAAAATGGGGCATCTCTAGTACTTTTATTTACATGCATTCCTAGAGGTTTACAACTTTAAAAACTAACCAGCTTCCTTCAAAAAAGGATGATCCTAAAATTCCGCCCTGTGATAGCTTACACTCCAGGGCCCTGCGACCTTATTTCAACCTTTTGATTTTTATTATAGTACAGGAGCCAAAATACTCTGTCAAACCAGAACAACAACAATAATACAGAGATGGTTGTTGTGTCCACCTCTTTTACAGAGACTGTGTATAAAAGAATGTCATAAAGTGTAGTCGCAGTGTTAGGTTACATTTTGAAGCTTTAACATGAATGTTTTGCCTAATTCTCTGTTAGGTTTTTTTGGGGAGCCAGAAGTTACCATGTTTGGACCAGAGCACTGCTGTATCCATTGACCTTATGGGTGCAAGCATATCTGCTAAGTAGTGTAAAGAAAGGACTAATAAAATGCTAAAAGTTTTTGCATCAAAACCGAAGTACAAACATGATTGACATTTGACAGATAAACAAATTAAAATACTTCAAAAGCAACAAATAGCAGAAACAAAATGGAGCCATCTCAATCAGTAACTTAAAGCTCCCAGTGTTGCCTTAATTCTCAGTCAAATTTACCACACCCCTACCTTTACAGTTTTTTTTAACAATGTTATAAAAATGTTTTGACTATGCAAAACTCTTAGCCTGTTAGCAGTCTACTTTAATTCATCCCTTTGTCTCCTTTTTTACTTCTCATCTTTGATGTCCACTTACAGTTTCTATGTCTCCTTTTATTTATTTACTCACTTTCCCTCCTTTCCTCAGTATTTTTAAGCAGCTGGTAGTCTTTAGTGCTCAAATAAGCTAAACTGGATAAATGCTTGCAGATGCATACTGTGAAGTTCCAAAGTAGGAAGTTATGAATTTCAAAACCCTTCAATGGATTCGCTTCACATCCGTGAGATTGTTGCCATATTATAGGCTTTACAATCACAGAAAACAGTATATTCAGAAAGAAACTTACGTCAAATGTTTTTAAAGAGGGTTCACAAAAGAACACAAAACGTTTCCAGGATATTTTTATTTATTGTTCTTGTTAAATCAGAGTGTTTTTCTGTGGTTTATGGAATTTTTATTTTTCAGCATGTCAAAAAAAATCCCATTCATCTCAGTTTGTTTTCATATTGATGTGATTCACAGGGCTTCATTAAACTTATAAACACAATGAATGAGTCCAAAGCAATGCCAGCATTGCCAGATAAAAATGAGCAAGGGCCTTTATTGTTGTCTTTTTGGCATAAATAACAATGGAATGCTTATAAACACTCTGCAAACACACTAAATAGTTGCAGCAAAATGTAGGAATCCCTCTGCCAATGCATTTGTGTATCTGGATACAAAGCTTCTGTTTTGTGTGTTTGGTTTTCAGTGGAGGAGACCTTGGTACGGTTGGTGAATGGGTCAGGTCCTCACGAAGGCCGTGTGGAGGTTTTCCATGAACATCGCTGGGGAACCGTGTGCGATGATGTCTGGGATAAAAAGGATGGAGATGTAGTCTGCAGGATGCTGGGATACCAAGGAGCAACCGAGGTTCATAAGACTGGACGTTTCGGGCAGGGTGCGTAACACTCTTATTTCATTGGTGTGTTTAACTTAAATCTGTTGCAAACCTTGTTGTCATTCAGTTCATGTAACACTTACGTGCATTTATTCAACCTCATATTGTGCCAAAGGATGTAATAGGTCGACTTGGTCCACCATGTCAATGTTGACAGAAACACCAAATAGGTGCCCATATTTTTTGGCTGTGGCTTGTGTGGTAGGTTAGGCCATGCATTAATTAGTAAAACAGTATGCCAGTTGAAACTAAAATTTCCAATTTTACATCTTCCAGTCTTATATGTATTTATGACATTGTGACACCAAAATGTCAAATCTGAATGGTGAAAGATATGTTCCAGAATAATCGGTAAAAGCAGGCTCAGACCACCCCTGGTAAAAACTTTGAATCTATTCATAAACTTCCAAGTGATCCTTTAAATGAAAAAAACAACAACAAGGATATAACCTCCTTCGCAGAGGTAACATAAACAAGATCCTCTTCCTTTTAGCCTTGAATTTCCCAGGAGATTTTGTATTCAGATCAGTATAGTAGGCCTTATAGAAAACCAAACAGAACTGCAAAGGATTTATTAATTTGTACTCACTACATTGCTCAATCAGCATTTACTGTATAATGATTTAAAAGGAGTAGTTTACTATTGCATGTTGACCATCCTTTACATCAATGGTGTGATGTGACAAGACGCACTGGTGGGCCTTGAGAAAAGCCAAGATTTGCTTTGGCTATATGCTATTATTGCAATCAATGAATTCATTCGTTTAATGCAGCTACACTTGCAAGGTGGGAATTATGAGACTGCAACTCATCAAAGGCCCTTTTTGACAGAAATATGGTTAACAAAGGAGGAAACACATTACTTTCTTACATGTATGAGTCAAAGAGTCAGGAAAAGGTGGCTAATGCTATAATGGTGCCAAGCCAGCTGAGGAGGTCTTGAAAACCAAACATCCCTTTGGAGAGAAACTTGGTTCATTTCAAAATAGTGTTTGGATCTGAACCAGAGGCAGCAAAACTGCTGGACCGAGTTTAAGTCCTTTAAGAAGATGGGGGTGGGATATGTGTTAGTGCATTCACCGTTGAATACAAATTAAAAAAAAGAATTGAGAGTGATTTGAATACAGGTGGGGTTTTTATATCAGATTAAATCAAATCATAACGTTGACACAGTATCCTGCAGTGGACCAGCGAACACATTCAAAGTCTTAAGGCAACAGAATAAACTGGAAATGTAGCTTTATTTAAATAGATGGAAAATTAGTCAGTAGAGGAATCCAATAATTCAGGCAGAGAAGACACAAGAACCAAAAACAGACACTGTGACGATGACTCAGGGGAAGACACTGCTATATACACACAAGAAAGCATTTAGGGGAAGTGAACACTGCTGCTGTGCTATTGCTGCAGCAATGAGGGTGAACAGCATTGCCAAAATCAACACTTCCTTTCAGAGGACTTAGACTTAGGGGTAGCAGGATCTGGCAAACAGGTGGCTGTCATTGTAGCAGGTGGGTGACTAGCAGGTTGCACAAATGCACACTCTTATGCCAGTCTTATTTTAAACTGGTGGAAAAACTCTATATAGAATGAGGAAGACATCATATACACACAAGAGGGCAATTAAAAGAACTGAACACAAGGGGGCAAATGAGGCACAGGTAAACAGAATCTAGGTAACTAGACAAGGTAAAAAAAAAAAAAAAAAACTATTTACAAAAGACAAAGAAGTACCAAAATGAAGCAGGACAAAACAGAAATGAAGACTTAATGAGAAACAAAGAGACACTGGGGGTGGCCATACTAAACTGAGTCACAAAGAAGTGCATACAAATCAACAATTAAGGTGTAAAGAGAACCCACATTACACATGTAACCAGAACTTAAAAACTAAAGCCCTAAATGATAACCAAAAATACAAAACTCAATGAACCATAAACTTTGCAAAAGTCAAAACATTGGCTCAGAGACTCGGGACCATGACACTATTAACCACTGGAATTTTAGTATAAGGGCATCACATTGTTGTTGTTTTTTTCTTGTCTTTTCATCACAGCTTTATTGTTGTCATGTGGTAAAGCAGTGCTCATGTTTCAGGAAATGTTAGAATATCCACAAAATGCATGTTTGGTTTCAGCTCTTCTGCCAAAGTGTCTTTAATGGGTTTTGGTTTGCCACCATCAGCATGTAAGTGTGAGTGAGTGCTGGGGTGAATTAGAAGCACATTATAAACCATTTTGTGTCAAAACACCCATATATCAATGGACCAAAACCTTATGGCATTATGTTTGTTGGTTACTTGCATGCTACTGCCAAAACAGCTCAGATTCACCAAGGCATGGACTCAGCAAGACCTCTGAAGGCAAACTGTGGGATCTGGCACCAAGTCAGGCTGTTCCCATTTGAACCAGTTGACTAAGTGAATAAACCTTTCACTTGTTGAGTCTGATGTAATAGCAATGTAATCGTCTTTTCTGAGTTTTTAAGCTCATTCTTTATAGGTCAGCGCTCATGATCTGCAATGAGGAACATGGCAATCATTGTTTTTATCTACAATACATATCCATGGTGAAACTTAATGATGGAAGTCGCTCTGATTTTTACTAACTCTGCTTTTTGGATTTGAGTGGCACAACAGTACCCTAAAATGCTGCAGGGATTAATATTAAACTTTTATGGTGAAAGTCGTGCTAGCCAGATGTCGTCAAGAAAGACTCTCAGGGGTCATATCCATCTGTTTCTTTCCCCATTTTATTTTATTCAGCAGTCAGCCTGACATCATTCAGAGCCTCTGTCCAGGCTGAGTTGTTACCAATGAGTCTGGAAAATTGAGGGAAATCATGCTTTTGTTCCAGGGGACAACCTCAAGAAAACAGCACAGGCTAACATCATGGCTGGATTCAATTTTAAACTATCTGGAATTCACATACATTTTCAGATGACTCACTAACCTTTCTGATTCCGTTTTAGCCTTTGTCTTACTCATAGCATCTGTGAAAGGACAGAACAAAATAAAATGACTTGATGAGAAAGCCACTCATTTGCCTCCTGACTCCCAAAATGACATAAAGTATGTGAGTGTTTGCAGAAACGACAGGTGAGTTTTTCCAGATCTACACAAAATCAGGCACAACTGTAAAAAATACATTCAATTAGCAGTCCAAAGACAAGTCAGGTTACCTTTCATGCTTCATCCCTGCTCCAATAAACAGACCAGTAGTTTTCAGTTACAATTTTCCATCTTTGATTTTAAACAAATTTGAACTGGAGACTTTCTGTGTAATCTCTAAATACCCTGCTTAAACTCTGTACACCCTTTTAACCTCCCAGCTTTCCGTTTTAACGTTTGCCCAAACTAAAACTAACCAAACTTTTTCCAAACTTTTATATTAATTTCGGACATTACAAACCCTGAATTTCTTTAGGAAATACAAAACTGTCCTGAGCCCGCTGTTTTTCAGTCTGCTCACACATGACTGTACTGCCAGACTCAGCACTAACCACATTGTGAAGTTCGCAGACGACACAACTGTGGTTGGTCTCATCACTGACAACGATGAGTCCACTTATAGATTGGACGAGGAGCAGCTTGAAGTGTGGTGTAGATCCCATAATTTCACCATCAATGTGGACAAAACAAAAGAGATGGTTGTCGATTTCAGGAAGTCTGGCAGAGATCACCACACAGACCTCACCATAGATGGATCTGCTGTGGAAAGGCTCAGCAGTGTTCCTGGGTGTACACCTAGCTGATGACCTGTCCTTCTCCATTAATACCACAGCAGTTATCAAAAAAGCACAAAAGCGAAACTTGAAACACTATTTTTCAAACTTGTAAAACAAACTATGGACATTTCTCATCTCCTAAAATCCTCACCTCATTCAGTACGTACCCTAAACATATTCAAAGAAACATCATATCGATTGCTAATAATAACACACAGGAGTGTTTGTGCTTAGAAAACAGTAATAAAGTTTATATTAAAGTTTATATTATGTATGATGGCCCAGAGAAACCTGAACTCCGGCCAGGAAACTGGGGTTTGTGTCATCATAATTGCAGTAAAAATAAACCTGTCCACAGCAGTGTGAAAAAGTCTTGAGCAACTCCTCATTTCATTATGTTTTGTTTATAAGGTGGCAGACTACTTTTTCAGGCTATCTGAAGGTCTTTTAAAGTTTTTCTTTCTTTACTTCAATCCTTGTACCGGACCATTTTCAGAAAAAGAAAGGGTTTTTTCGTTTTGTTATCCACTGACCTTTGAGTAATTCAAAAAAATAGGCATCTAACTCAAGGGATGAACCAGTGTTTTTTCTACACGTAACGGATACCTTTGAAAAGAACCAGTTTAATATTCTGTCTTTAGGCACTTATTACCAGCCTTATAAAAAAAGAAACACATAAATTTGTACCAAGAGATATCAACACCAACATCATGAATCCCCTTTTAGCCAAAAAGCCAAAAAGATGCAAAACAGCTGATGAGCAAGATCTGAAAGTCATGTTCCTGAGAAACAGGAGAAAATCCAGCAAAGGCCTGACACATGAACTGAAAGATGTATCTGCACCTTCAGTTGATCCATCTACTGTTCACTGAAGCCTCATCAGAAATGGTCGTCATGAAAGGGTTGCTGTCATGAAGCCACTCTTTAGGAAGGGAAACTGTCCCGTTTGTAGCAACTGAAAATAAATACAATAAATCCGCTTGGCATCTTTCTTGGCCTTAAGACAACAATTCTGATGGCTAAAGATCCAAACGGGACACAGAAAAAAAAAAAAAAAAGGTAGGGAAACAGGGAGAAAAGGTTGTGAAGAAGTCTTATGGTACAAAGGAGAGTGCCTACACTAGGGCTGTTCGATATAACGATATATATCGGACGACGATATAAAAACGTCTATCGTTTCATTTTACGCTATCTTTTGTTTCGTGATGTCGCAAAATAAACTGTTTACGGCAATATTTTTTCATCGTTTAATTTCTTAAAGTTCTCTCTGTCTC